TTCTATCTCCTAGAGCTATTTTTAATTTAAAAGGGATGAAATTTTGAAAATCGATGAAGTTCTGATGGTGGAGATCCAGGTATCGATGGTCAGATGCTGGAGATTTGGGTGCAGTGGGAGGGCTGACACTGGGGCCTTTCAGAGACCCTCTGCCTCTCCATTGCTGGTCAGGATGACTTGAAAGTGGAGAGGAGAGTCCCCAGGGGGCAGGGTAGGTTAGATGTCATGGCCCTACAGGCTCTTCATGATATTTGGGTGGAATTTTTTTAATATTTATTTTTTTAGTTGTAGTTGGACACAATACTTTTATTGGATTTATCTATATGTGATGCTGAGGATCAAACCCAGGGTCTCGCACGTGCTAGGCGAACACTCTACCGCTGCTGAGCCACAACCCCAGCCCCTCAGGTGGAATTTTTAACCCTTCAAAACACATTCGTTAATTCTGTTTTCCTTCTGCTTCCCACCTGCCAGTCAGGTGGAGGCAGAGATGCCACCATCCCCGCTGCCTGAGAAGGAAGCAGTCCAAGTGGCCCTGCAAGATGAGAAGCCACTGCTTTTGCCCAGCCTGGGCCTTCTCCCCATCCCAGCACTGACTGAGAGAATTCCCACAGATTCCAACACATCCTTCTTCTCATCTGAACATCAACTGCCTCTTCGTGTATATTTCACTTCCCCAAAAAACCATTCCTACAAGTCGTCTTACCATTTGCCAAGGACCTATTCTATCTGCCAAAGCAAGTCCCCACTCCCCTCGCTTTGTTGATAACTGGGCTCATCTGTTTGCATTTCTGTTTATCAGCTGGCAGTCCGGTTTATCTCCTTATCAGATTGTGTGTTCTTTAACACGCTGGGTACCATATGGCCCCCAGCAGAAATAGCTGTCCTGTGACCCACCTGTGGGCACAATTTGTGTGCCTTTCAACCCTAATGTATAAATATCAGGTTCCCTGAACACCTAAAATTTGTCTGGAATTGGAAGATTTTACATAATTAGAATAAAATGTTGACTCCCTTCTCTAATTTTTTGGAGCAACCGATAGAGTGTGCATAGAGAATAAAAACACATTATATATTTACACAGTGAAATTGACTGAAAAATAGCTACACGCAACATCCTGAATCTCACTAGCCTAATGTGGATTGATACAAGCGAATCTCAGGAGACTATACAGACCATCACACTATTTCTAAATTTCACAAAACAAGCTAAACATCAGTGGGAGTCCCCTAAGCCACGCATATGCTTGCTGATGATCAGTCAACCCCCCTAGGCACAGTGAATATCCATCCCTCATTTCCCTGGCACCTAGCTCTTGGATGGGCAGAACTAGTCTTACCAGGGTTCCTCTCTCCAACTTCCCTCAGCTCCTGAGGACTAGGTACCACTCTTTTCCCCACAGAACTTTCCCCACCTCCTGAGCCTGCCCCGACTCAGGCCAGAGCAACTTCAGATTCACCTGGTCCCTCTTACCTCTCCTGTCAGAAAGAGGAAATGGTATGAAGTTCTGATGGTATAAAGTTCACACAGCTCCCTTCTCACCATGGTCCATTCTGACACAGGACTTTGGGTTTCTGAGGATCACTGTGCTCGGTCTCCTGGTGACATGGGCCTGTTAGGACATCTTACTAACGCATCTTGGATTAACTGGTACTGATTGTGTCCTGCGTCTTGACAAAAAGATTGTTGCCACCAGCTACTCAGGAGGCGGAAGCAGGAGGATCACCAGTTTGAAGCCAGCCTGGGCAACTTATTGAGACCTTATCTCAACACAGGACTGCATACTGTAGTGATATATTCATACCAATATTTATAGCAGTGCATTTCACAGTAGTCAAGGTATGGAACCAACCTAGGTTCCTATCAAAGGATGAATGGATAAAAGAAACTATTATATATATATAAAAGAGTTGGGGTTTTTTGGAAGGGTTGGTGTTTTTGTTTTTGTTTTTGGTACTGGGGATTGAACCCAGGGGTTCTTAACCACTGGGCCACATCCCCAGCACTTTTTATTCTTTATTTTAAGAAGGGTCTCACTTGGGGGCTGGACATGTGGCTCAGGTGGTAGCGCGCTCGCCTGGCATGCGTGAGGCCCGGGTTCGATCCTCAGCACCACATACCAACAAAGATGTTGTGTCCGCCGAAAACTAAAAAATAAATATTAAAAAAATTATCTCTCTCTCTCTCTCTCTCTCTCTCTCTCTCTCTCTCAAAAAAGGAAAGTAGAAATTAAATAATTAAAAAAAAGAAGGGTCTCACTAAGTAGCTTAAGGCCTTGCTAAGTTGCTGAGGCTTCCCTCGAACTTCCCATCCTCCTGTTAAGCCTCCTGAACACTGCACCTGGTTGTGAACACTGCACCTGGTTGTGAACACTGCACCTGCGACACAATGGAGTTGTACTCAGCCATGAAAAAAAAAAGAATGAAACATGTCATTTTCTGGTAAATGAATGGGGCTGGAGAACATTACGCTAATTGAAGTAAGTCAGACTCAGAAAGTCAAGGGTTGAAATGTCTTCTCTCAAATGTGGAAGCCAGAGAGAGAAATTTAAAAAGAACAAAATAAAGGGAATCTCATGAAAATAGAAAGGAGATCAAAAGAGTAGAGGAAGGGAAGGGAGAGGGAGGGAGGAAGGAAGGGCTTGAGAAAGGACTGGGGAACAAAATCTACCAAATTATGCTAATCCATGTATTCATTAAATATACTGTAATGAATCCTGCTTTTATATATATAAAAACTTATATATATAAATATATATATAAGCAGGATTCATTACAAATATTTAATTACTATATATATTATATACTATATAGTATATATAATATATATAACATATTATAGTAATACATATAGTAATATAAATATATATTAATATTTATATATAAGTATATTTTATATGTTTATATATATTAAAAAGCAGGATTCATTACAGTATATTTAATTATATATATATATATATATATAATTGTAATACATCAATTAAAAGAATAAGACTATAAAGGAGATTGATGGAGTAGAGCAAGAATAGAAGAAGGAAAAGGAAGGTCCTGGGGAATGAGATTAATCAAAGTACTGCAAGTACAAATATGATATGATTAATCCCATTATTATGTATGATTAATGTACAAAAAAGAATATAAACAAAACAAAGAGCTGGAATTGCAGCTTAATGGCACAGTATCCCAAGTTCCAACTCCAGTATAAAAAGAAACATATTCCTATTCCTTCCGCACTAGGCCATTCCTCTGAGTGGGTCTGGTGTCCTTGGATCTTGCTGCTGGATCTCTTTTGAAGTCAAATGCACAGACAGATCCCCTTCAGATGCTTTCTACTCATTCCCAGTCTCAGTTCATCTGCTCCTACCTTTCAGGTACCTGAAGTTCTTCAATGGCAATGATTGCCCCACACCTCATCTCTTAAGGTCAATTATGTACCCAGTCTTGCACCAAATGTTCTGTCTCACTTTATCAGACACAGGGTACTTCTCTACTTCATGGTTAATTCTGTGGGGTCATATTTCCTCCCTCAAATGTTAGAAATGGTGTGTGTTTCAGAAACCAAGGGGATTTTTCACTGTTCAGGATGATGCCTTAAAATTAGCTCATCATAGTTATTACTTTCTCCAACATCAGGATGTAAGATTCTTTTGGAACTCTGAAATGTTTCCAGACAACAGAAGATAACCATCTGTTTCCAGTATTTTCCTTGGGGACAAACCAACAGAAAAAACAGCTTTAATTTTTAGCATAAATTACTGGGATTAGTGGAAATAAAGCATTTCCTGACAATGAAGACTATAAATAATTGCACATGATAACTGAGATAGGCTGAGAGTCTTTGGAATAAGCACACTAAAGGTCCTGATAAAATGGAATCCTATAAATTTTGTTTTCTCATCTTGAAGTAATTTCAAGTTCTTTCCAGAAGCCCAAATGATAAAACAAGAATCCACCACTCCTCCAACTTCTGTGGCTTCAACTTTGTTTTATTGATTAACCACTACCATTGATTTATTCTCCCACTACCAGAAATCTTTGCATCTGAATAAGCCTGCCATTTCTTTAGGGAAATTCTTTTTCTAGATTTTGCTTCCTGAGTGTGTGTGTGTGTGTGTGTGTGTGTGCGCGCGCGCGCACACAGTCTTACCTGTCACTCTAATTATTGCTTCAGTGAAAACTAGTACTTCATCTTTCCTTTCAAGTGTGCATGAACTTGAAGTCTTAAGAGTTTTCTAGATAAGCTGCTCCATGAATAAGCAATTTAATGGGTGTTTTCAGGAAATGCTATGGGCTACAGGTCCTAGGGAAGTTCTATGGTGGTGACTGCTGTGGGATCTGCTTGGGGGGGGCAGTAGGAATTAGGTCTTCATACTTTTTTTAATATATTTTTTTTTACTTGTAGTTGAACACGGTACCTTTATTTTATTTATTTATTTATTTATTTATTTATGGTACTGAGGATTGAATCTAGGGCCTTGCCCATGCCAGGTGAGCACTCCACCTCTGAGCCACAACCCCAGCCCAGGTCTTCATTCTTGATGGTGTCCTTAGACATGCCCCTTCCGTGGGAAAGTGATTTGGGGGGAAAGTGGAGGCTTTATTGAATAAAGTTATTTTCTCCAAAAAGAACTCAAATTCCTTTGACTGGGGTAGAAGATGATGAAATATTTGCTGGACTGGTGAGTTTTGACTTTCAGTTCAGGGAGTCAAGGTTGTCTGGTGTGATCGAAGAAAATAAAAACTCTGAAAGGAGAAATACACTTGATCCCCAAGGAAGACTAGTTTTTCAAATCCTCCCTACAATTAGTGTTTATATATAAACATTATACGCATCTCCACCTTTAAACTTCAGACTCGCGGGTATCGGCCGTGTCCTCACCCCGTGTGGATTACTGTACTGGTAAAAATCCGAGGAAGGAGTCGAAGGTGGCCGTGCGCAGCCCGGAGAGACTCCAAAGTTGACAGACGGATTTTGTTGCTTTCTTGCTTCTGGCTCGCCCCCTTTCCCTTGGAGGGGATGGAGATATGAATGAGTGGCCTCTGCTTCTCCGGAGACCGCCTTTGAGGCTCCAGAGCCTCATCTGACTTTCCCAGAGAGGGGGAGGCAACAAGATCCTTCCTTCCGCTGTCCCCAGAGAAGGGTCCTGGGACCAGAGCGCGAGGAGGGAGAGAGCCAGGAGCTGCTGCCCAGAGTCAGGAGACTCTGCCGGACCCGGGAGCGCCGCAGAGAAGCTCAAACTTTGCCGGGGTAAGGAAGTGGGGGATCTGGATCTGGGAGTTGTTGGGGCGCCGGGAGGTGCGCCGGGAGTGCAGGCTCCGGCGGGAGCTGGATTAAAGAACTCCAGGCTCGGGAGTGGGGTGGGGGCGTGCAAGGGCGGAGTGGCGCTGTCCACAGCCCCTGGTGCTGAAACCGGCCACCCATCGGTCAGGGAGAAAGGGACGGAAGCGAGGGGCCGCTCCTGCCTCTGCTCCCATATTCCGCGCCCCCCACCCCTCCAGTCCAGCACCAAGGACAAGGAGCCGTCCTCTGTGCTCCCCCAGCCCATCGCACTCGGGTTTACTCACGTCCGGTAGCCGCGCTGGGCTGAGCCCGCGGAGCCGTCGGGGAAGGAGGCAGAAGGAACAGGGCTGGCTCTGATGGGGTCAGGAAGGAGTCCTCCCACTCGGTGACACCCTCTCCCACGACACTGCACCCAGATGCGGAGCCTCCACTCCGGCTAGTGGGGAAGGGTCTCCACTGCTGCTTGGATCCCCTTGCTCCAGGCAGGGGTCCTGCCCGGTGTCCCTGGGCCCGTTCTGCACTGGGGCAGTTGTGTCAGCGATTTGAAGGGGACCCCTGTGAAGCAGAGGGTGGGGGATGCGGGGCTGCCTCTACCGGACCCTACTCAGGCTGGGGATCCAAACAGGTGAACTGGAGAGAAGGCAGGGAATTAAATTTCTTTTGATGAGTGAGCATTTTATTATTTTATTATTATTATTATTTTTAATGGTAAAACATAACCACAGTTTTGGCCCCTAAGTGCCTCGGGCTTAGTGCCAAGCAGGGGGCAGGGGCAACAGGCCCTCTGATCCTTGGCAATCCACTAATCAGATAAAGGCTCTTGGCTGTCTGTCTTCAGTCTTTTCCAGGCAGCTCAGCCCCCAACCCATCCCTGACACCCCCTGGTAGCTGGGTCCACTGACCCCTGTGCTCTGCTCACCCCAGAGTGGGGCTAGGGTTCTGGGTAGGACTGTTGCATTTTTCTCTGATGCAATTTCCATACTTTATTCTGTTGTTGGGACTTTAGGATTCCTCACTCTAAGATAGTTGTCTCCAGCTAAACACAGTGTGGCCTGAAAGAAAGGGGATAGAGCAGAGGGACATGGTTGGCTTGTGAACCAGGTACAGCCCCCAGGCCACCTCAACCTGCTTGCTCAGTACTGTCCCCACTCTGCAAGCGCAGCCTCTTCCCTGAATCTAGACAGCCTGGTGGCAGGCACCCCTCACCAAATCTTTTATTGAAATGAGGGGGGGCAAGGTCCCTTGTTCCTCAAACCCTTGGGGAAGATCCAGACACCTGGGTTTAGACTCCAACCCAATGTGGGCATCTCAGACCCCCCTCTCATTCTCTAAAGACTAACACCCCCCACACACACACACAGTTTCATTCATAAAAGAAAATGAGCATTAATATATTTTGGGAATGAGTCCCCACTTGTAGCACTTTGTAGGTGCTCATACCCATAAGTGAGTACTCAGTGGATAGGGGGGTGGTAGAAAGTTGGGGCCAGGAAAGCACAGGTGGACTGTCACCACACTCCGTCTTCTAAGCCAAAGTCCCTCTTATAGAAAAGTCTGCCAGGTCGGGGACTCAGCTGGGATTTCACTGAGCTGATGCGGGCTTTGTGGTGTGGGTAGAGGACTTCGCTCTGCTCAACTTTATACAAAATACCCCGGGCACATGCTACCTCTTCAGCCTCTATTCAACCTCAGAGAGGGTCCTCGACTGCGCAGAATTGTCAGGAGCTAGTGAAGAGCGGCTCTCTGGTGGCAGACTAGTCGATGCAGGATCTCAATCACGCTCCCTTGGACTTCAGCCAGGACTGCGTGTGCCCTTGCCTTTGATGCGCCTGTTTTTATGTCTTTTCTATCCTCATTCACTATCTGTGAGCGGTTGGTCGCTGCTTCTGGCTAAGCCCAGGGTTGCTATGGCAACCAGTCAGCAGTCTCCATGGTACCCAGGAGGTAAACAGTTGGAAGCTGCAGGCTCTTCTCTAGTTGTTGAGGATAGCTCAGTGGCTGCTGGTTTCCTGCGATGACCAGGTTCCAGAGCCTTTCTCCCTCTCCCTTCTCCCCCCTCCTTTCCCCCCACTCACCCGAGCATCCTGCTCACCTGAAGCCTTACAAACCCACAGACCACAGCCTCAAGGTTGAGATGGGTCAAACTTTTTCTCTATCCCCCACCATTACATCCCTCTGACCTAATTCATTTCGGTTTCACACTGACTACTTCTAGGTACAAAGCACAAAGCTGAGTCCAGTGGGAGGAACAGAATTAAATTAATTAAGCAGGCACAGTCCCTGCCTCTGGGATCGCCTGATGCAGTGAGGGAGACAAACCCTTACTCCACCTGTGAGCTTGCCCATCCTCCAGACTGAAGTGGAGGGGATAACAGCCTTGAGAGTAAAGAGAGAGGAGGGACTGGTCAAGGAGGGCTTCGCAGGGGAGGTCACCCTAGGCCTGAAACTTGAAAACAAATTGCAAAGAAAAGGGGAAAGCTCTCTAGGCTGAGAGAATAGATCCTGCCAAGCTGACATAGACTGGAACACCTCAGTGGCTTAGCCCATCACCCATAAGGTCATGGGGTTTATGGAGTCCTGCATCATGGGAGAAATCCACTGACCAGAGCCTGTTCCTCAGCCCTCACCTGTCCTGAAACAGAGTTTGGGAAATAGAGGAAGCACAGGTTGATTTTGATGAGCACTGTCTCTCCCGATAGATGACAGAAGAAAATTCATGACACATGTTGGGAAAGGGGAGGTGACTTGGTTTAGCTAGAACATCCAGTTGAAGCTGATATGATCAATGTTATGAAGAAATGGGGACTGTGTGACGGAGACAATCAACAGGCTCTGAAAGTTCCCGAGACGAGAGACAATGATTAGAATTGTCTTTGCAAAGACCCTGGAGTCACTCTGGAAGATTCATTCATTCACTTATTCACTCATTCCACACTGGTTGAGCACCTCCTAAGTGCCGGCACTGGATGGGTTGCACAGATGAGAGACTGGAGATGGGAGGGGAGCAAAAGGTATTATTTTAATGACCTCAGGGAGAGAGACAAGAACCTGGACAAAGATGGGGGCACAGCTCAAGGAGGCCAGGAGCTGCCAGTCTGGTTCACCACCACATACCCTCTGTCAGGTAGAGACCCTAGCACATGGTTAGTGTTCAGTCTGTTTGCAAATTAGTAAATGAGATAAAGGGGACAGAGGTTAGTTAGTGGCTAGTTAGTGGTTTAGCTGATTGGACTTGGTGATGCTGGATCTGGGGGCAGTGAAAGCTCATTCAGAGTCTCAGTTGAGTGATCAACTGGCTCTGAGTGACATTCATGGCAGTAACCGAGACAGGGATGAGAGGAAGAAGAGCATGCTTGGTGGTACTTCAATGGGGGACAGTGACACTCAGGACAGTTTTGCCTCAAGGAAAACTCTTCCCTGGACATGTGTACACCCCTCACAGGAATCCCCTTGGACCTCATCTTATCTCCAGAGCACTTCTTTCAACCCTTTTATAGGATTCACATATTGGATTCTAATAATGCAGCGTCAGGGTTGAAGTGAAACAGGCTTTTACTCCCCAGCTCGGTTACTAGGTCGCTCTTAACCAGTTATTTAATCATTCTGAGTGTCAGCTTCTTCACGTGTAAATTGGAATTTTATATATATATATATATATATATATATATATATATATAAAATACCTACCTCATGGGTTTGTTGGGAGTTAAATAAAATAATAGAAGTAAACTCCTTTATACAGTACCTGGAAGATGGCAGGTGCTCAAACTTAGATAGGACCATCTTATTATTACCTGTAGTGGCATGTAGTACTATTATAAGGGCACTCTAAAAGTTATTTAAGGAAAAAAAAATGCCACCTAACTTCCTGTGCTTTTAGCGAGGATTGGTGAAGCAGATCCTTGTAGAGGTAGGGAGGTTTCTGGCCTGGCCTTACTGGTGTTAGGGCAGAAAGAACAGGCAGTTCTGGAGAGAGCATTTATGAGACTGGCTACAGAGTTTTCAGTTCCACAGATGTGGCAAGAATCAGAAAGCACTTTCATCCTCTTGAAATCTCAAACCAAACAGCTGAATTGTATCACAAAGCATTAGTTTCAAAACTGAATACACTCAGATTTGAGAAACTCAGATTTGAGAAACTCAGAGTCCCATGAATTGAGTCATCCCAACATTAGACCATGACACATTTTAGACATGAGACAGGTCTCTGCCTCCCTGGGTGAGACATAATTGATAATTGGGTTCCAATTTCCGTGCATTTTCTTTAACCCCAAATCTCTTCCTGTTCTTGGGAACTATTCATTTTTTTTCCTCAGGCAGGAATTGAGAATCTGCAGCTGGCATTAGGAGGCTCCTATTTGCTGGTTGAATAGAATGTATTCCAGTTCACAGCCATGAGAAGGTTTCTTTGGGAAACAAGACAACTCTCCTCACTCAGACTCAGCATCCCTATCTAGGTTCAGGGACATTCATGGGCTTAGTACAGGCTAGACTCCACTCCACAGAGGAGGAAAAATGGGGTTCTGGCCTCCCACTGCCCCATGGCCTTCAAACTCACCTCTGGGTACAACCAGATACAACTGCCTTGTCTAGCACTTAGACACCCTCTGTGGCCTTTCCTGGGCAGGTAGACAAAGCCATGGTACTCACTGGTCCCAGAAATTGGCCTTGTTTCTTGAGAGGCAAGGGATTAAGGCTGCGGGACTCATCATCAGATTAATCCTGGCTAATGTGATAGGTCCTGGCAGGGTGAACTGTGATCCTCAGTCTGCTCACCTGCTTAATATGGGTAGCAATAGCGCTATCTCACAGGGTGATTGTGAGGATTCAATGAGTTGATACATTCAAAAAGTTGTAGAGCTGTGCCTGGCATAGTGTAAATCCTAAAAAAAAAAAAAAATGGCAACATGATTACATGATTAGCACGAATGTGCCACTTGACATTTCTCCCTTTTTTTGACAAGTAT